CCAGTGCTTTTTTCCAGCTATGAAAGGTCAGATAATGACTCATCTGGCATTAAGTCTAGCAGTACAAAATTGAGCCTTCAATACTTGTAAGAGGTTTCAAACAGCAAAAAGTAAGGATATTTTGATGTGACACCAGAAGACCTCAGGGCAGATTTACTGTGATGCCAAAGCCTGGTCTCAGTTTCTTTGCTTACCAGAAAGTGTCTCTTCTTCATGCTCTGTAACAGACTACAAGGCCTATTTGCTCAACTCTTAGGAAAAGAAACAAACCCCCAAAATCCAGATGCTGGATTAACCACACAGAAGTTCTGAAGCATTTTAATGGAAATCCAAAATAAGGAGACACTAGTTGTCCTGGTTTCAGCAGGGATAGAGTTAATTTCCTTCTTAGTAGCTGGTACAGTGCTGTGTTTTGGATTTAGGGTGAGAACAATGTTGATAACACACCGATGTTTTAGTTGTTGCTAAGCAGTGCTTACACTAGTCAAGGACTTTTCAGCTTCCCATGCTCTACCGACAGAGAAGGCTGGGGGTGCACGGGGGTCTGGGAGGGGGCACAGCCAGGAGAGCTGACCCAAACTGGCCAAAGGGATATTCCATACCATGTGACATCATGCTCAGCATATAAAGCTGGGGGAAGATGAAGGAAGGGGGGGACACGTTCAGAGTGATGGCATTTGTCTTCCCAAGTAACCATTACATGTGACAGAGCCCTGCTTTCCTGGAGATGGCTGAACACCTGCCTGCCGATGGGAAGCAGTGAATGAATTCCTTGCTTTGCTTTGCTTGCGTGCGCGGCTTTTGCTTTACCTATTAAACTGTCTTTATCTCAACCCACGAGTTTTTCTCACTTTTACCCTTCCGATTCTCTCCCCCATCCCATGGGGGGGGAGTGAGCGAGCGGCTGTGTGGTGCTCAGTTGCTGGCTGAGGTTAAACCACAACACTAGTATATAGCAGTATCTGCAGAATATGGCTTCAAACTGGAATCTGATAGACCCTGTGCAAGCTCCGTTGCGGGATACCACAGAGTGCTCAGCACAGCCTGTGTAAGAGGGGGCATGGGCTTCAGCCAGTGTGCGCTGCGGAGAATGAAAAGGTGAGCAATCTAGTGTTTCTAGATAAGACTCTGAGCAGACATGGTGTCCTTGGTCTCCAGCTTTTCTGTCATGTAACTGATGCAGTCCCAGAGAGGAAGCAGTGAAAAAGACAAAGGAATTTCCTCTAGGGAGAAAGGAGATGAAATTATGAAGGGAGAATTAAACACAGTGGAAATGCATGTTTATTAACCCCCAGTGTCCTTCTTCACTGAAACCACTTCTTGGGTAACTAGATCTTATTTAATTAACTACCACCTTCTTGCTGTGCTTGTTTACCAGTGACCTATTGTCCCTCTTCTCGCGTGGTTCTCACACCTCACTGATTACTTTGTGTTATCCTTACTGTCATGGTTTAACCTCGGTCAGCAACTGAGCACCACGCAGCCGCTCGCTCACTCCCCCCCCCGGTGGG